AGTATATGAGTCTCCCTGGCTCCTGCATCGCACCCGTGATGAACCAGAACAAGTGTAGCTGGAACGTAGCGGGGGAGGCATGGAGCCATGGAAGAGTCCAGCCCCCTCCCACAGCTGGCCTGGGCTCCGCACGGGTTAGAAGAGTTCAAAGCAGTGACCCTTAGTTTAGTCAGCAGAGCCCAGATCCTCAAGGGTATTTAGGCACCTAACTCCCATTGGATGGAAGTTAGGTACTTAAATACCCCAGCAACCATGACTTGGAATGGTGAGTAAGGAAGTGATGGCAGCCCCTTTGCAGAGAAGAGCTGCCCTTTATTCCCTGATTATTTCATCAACTCTGTGCCCTTCCCTGCGGAGCATGGGTGGGTTCGCCTGACCTGGGAGGCTGCTGATGGGCAGAGCAGCTCCTCGTCTCCCATCATCAGTGAACAGAACCAGCATGGGCTTCTTGCTTTCATGGTGATCTCTTCCCGATGCAAATCGCACCATGCTGGGATCCACCGGAGCACTCCCCAAGCCGCGGACAGTCACCAGCAGGCCATGGTTAGTGCTGTCCTCTTCCATCCAGTCACGAACCTGCAAAACCACACAACTGTCAGCATGGCAGTAGCGCCTGTGAAGGGACAGGACCCAGCCCCAGGAAGGCACCGTGAGGTACAGACAGGAGATACTGGGAACCGATGTGTCTTCCAAACCACTGAGGACATCTCAGTCCTCAGATTGTGTCAATCCAAACCCCCACAGCCTCTCCAGTGAAAGGGGCAATAAAAGAATGCCACTGCCAGCCCTGCCTGGTGATGGCTAACACACAGACCAGCAGTGGGGAGTGAGGCTTACCAGCCCCACTATTCCCCTGTCCTGAGTTTGAATCCTGCATGCAGCCAAGGGGTACGAGCAGCACACATGTCCCTCCGCTCGCCTGTGCTGAGCCCTGCAGTCAGAGAGATGAACTGAGCTTCTCTGAGAACAACTCCGCTTGGGTCTGATCCCAGGTTGGAGCCGGAGCTCCCCAAACACCCCAGCCTGCGGCAAGGCTTACCCTGTGCTGTTTATGGGCAGCTCTCAGTGGGCCCAGAGCTCACCCTTTATTCTAGAATCCTGTGACGGTCCCTCTGTAACAAACAGCCACAAGTGTGGTAGCCCTGGCAGCTCCAGTCAGGGATCAGGACCCCATTGTGCAAGGTGCTGTACACACGTGATAAAGACCATCCTTATTGCAAAGAGCTCAGTCTAAGGCCCTGATTCTGCTGCTGGCAGCATGCAGGACACCCCTGCTTTCAGTGGGCCTCTGCATGGACACAGGGGTGAGTTGCGCACTGTCAGTTGCAGGCCTGGGACCAAAGCAAGCTACTGTGGAAAGTTAATCTGCTGTGCCTCTCACCACAGTACGTAAGCTCTTTAGCCACTTAGGAAAGCAGGGCTCTGCCTGACCCCCTCTGGTATATTGGCTAGTGTTCTCCTCTCTGCCCCGCCCACTTGGCTTTCACTGAAGAGTCACACCTCTCTCATTGTGTAATGCCCTGGACTGGGAATCTGCTTTGGAAATACAACCTGTTAAAAGCACTGTGGGGCAGGGACTGTCTCTTTCTGTGTACTTGTGCAGTTCCTAACACAATGTGGCCATTAGGAGCTACTGTAACACAAATAAACAATGGGTAACTGTTTATATTAAGGTTCCCCTTCTAAATAGTTTATGATTTATACATGTTTAATACACGTTTTAATAAATGGTTAAGCTATGGTTATAGAGGGTGGCAAGCCAATAGCTATATGCATCCGAAGAAGTGGGCTGTAGTCCACGAAAGTTTATGCTCTAATAAATTTGTTAGTCTCTAAGGTGCCACAAGTACTCCTGTTCTTCTTTTTGCAAGCCAATAGGTTGCTTATAATAATCTGCAACCCCTACTGCTGTGCTCATACTACTCATGTTCATTATCTGGTAAATGGAACATTCCTATAGAATGTGACCATAGTGATGATAAATTAAGAGATGTTAAACCCCAGCCCTTGCAGCTCATCATTAGCCCTCCAGCTACGGCTAAAGGTTGCTCTTATAAGCAAATGGACACATTGCCTAGCAAACCCTTACAGAGGAAGACAAATCTAAGACTGCCACATCTCCTTGGTGCCTTTTCTCTCCCAATTAGTTCTTACATTAGTTACTATTTCTAGAAGATATCTTCTTGTTTCATAATAAACATAGATCTATACAACTGTTTGGTGATATTTAGCACATTTTTTTTACAATGGTTCATATTAAAAATATGTACATTGCTCTTGGTATCACCCCACAAATGTAGACTCTGCGCCAGATGTCTCCCTGCAAATATACACAGCTGGTGCCAGGTGTCTCTCCCGAAATATACACCCTCTATGCTACACGTATGCAGTGTACCAGACATCACCACACCTCCCAAAAATCAGCAGCATCAATAGAAAGTTTGGTTCTATTCTGAAAAGTGACTGTGAACAAAATTGGCATGGTGGGCTCAGTGTTTAGTATCAGGGGGTAGCTGTGTTAGTCTGTATCTACAAAAACAACAAGGAGTCTGGTGGCACCTTAAAGACTAACAGATTTATTTGGGCATAAGCTTTCGTGGGTAAAAACCTCACTTCTTGAAGAAGCTTTCGTGGGTTTATTTGGGCATAAGCTTTCTTGAAGAAGTGAGGTTTTTACCCACGAAAGCTTATGCCCAAATAAATCTGTTAGTCTTTAAGGTGCCACCAGACTCCTTGTTGTTTCAGTGTTTAGTGTCTCTCTGATTTCAAATCAAGACTGCCCCATTTCCAAGGGAAAAGATGTTTGTTCCTGATTGCCACCAGCCCTGCAAACTCAGCCGAGGATCAGTCCTGGTGGGTTCTTTCTGGCTCCTGGATCATCCCTTGGGAGCCTGACCCAAATGGTGGATTATGGGTGTGGTTTAGGTAACATTGAACTGTACACCTCAGAGTAAAGAATTTACAGCAGGAATTTAGTTAACAATTCTGCGGCTCCTGCACAAGGCAGACTGGAGCTCAGCTCACGCTTTCTCAGGCACCAACAGGAATGACAAGAACTGGTTTTGATCTGACAAGGCAACTGCTCAGACTAAAGAAGCTGGTGTGTTTTTACATCATCACTTTCCTGATCATAACTTCACTTCAAACTCAATTTTAGCAGAAAGCCAGACTTCTCAGTCCTTTCTCAGGCTGTGAAGATTATAGCCACTGCCCTGACATCTGTACTGTAACATCTGGGCTGTCCATACCCACAGCTGTGTTACTCAAGACGTTTTAACAGTTCTAGAGGAGCCATTTCAATATGGTTCAAAAGCAGTTCTGTAAATAAGATTTAAACCCGGCTGGCCTGGCTAGCACTGCCTCAGTGAAAACCCCTGCAAGTCACCTCTATTGATTCAAGAACACAGGTTTGTGAAATGGCTGGATCTGCTGTCAAGGCTGCAGTGTCAAAGGAGGTGGGCTAGCAGACTCAGCCAACTTTTTCAAATGGTGGCACAGAAAAGCCTTTGACAGACATCCCCTCCCCCTTTAGCAGCTGCCCCTCTAGGCTGAAGCAGCTGGAGGCCAAGGAAGGGCATTGGGAGCTCCTTTGGTTTCAAAGGGCTGGGGATGGCAGTTTGCTGACAGAAGGGACAGGAAGGTTTCATTCTCCTCTCTGTACACATCTGAATTTAGGCTGAAGACACTTACAGCTTGTGTGATGCCAAACACCTCCCAGCCAGAGCCCTGCAAAGCGATAAGTCTGGCTGCCAGCAGCTTCTTCCCTTCAAAGGAATCCAGTTTGTTCTTGTCCAGGACTTGATAGACACTCACCTGGGGATTGTGAATACAAGGTAGTTAGCACCAGGTGCCACTGGAAGAGGAAAATCTCATTGAAAGTCTATGTTTTAAAGGAGAAGAGATGAGGGAAAGTCAAACTAGCCTTGTGAGAAACCTCTGTAGTCTGAGGCCTGGTCTACCCATAAAAATTGCACCAATTTTTTATAAACCGATTTACTTACATCGGTGCAACTTATTGTGTGGACACTGAAATTGATTTGAAAGTGGTTTATATTGATTTAGCATAAGTCAGTAAGGATCCAACTTTGGTGAGGTCAGCACACAAACCAGGAGCCAAATCCCACTCTCAGTAAATGTGCAGGGGTCACTCCAGATTCATAGTAGTGTCCCTGAGAGCAGAATATGGCCCATGCACTTTCAAAGCAGAGACACATGCACTTCTCATCTCTCCTTACCTGGCAGAAGTGATGTCTCTTGTAGAAAGGCCCCTCAGCCACCTTAGTCCGCAGTCTGAAGAGATGCAGCTCTGCTGTCAGGATCCTCTCGTTCTTAGCCACACTCGATAGGATGAACAGGAAATGCATCTCATCACTGTGAGCTGGACCAAAGGGTCAGATTAGAAACTTTGGTGACCCCAGTTTCAGCCAAACTAAAAAGGAACATCACATGGGCACATTCTAAACACTCTACTCTGATGCCGCACATCCTCTGGGAGGATGTGCTTCATCAGTGCATATGGGATACTGCTTACTCCAGGCCTCCCCTTGGCGTCTAGGATCCAAACAAGCACCAAGAGCCCTGGAAAACTACACACAAACTCTAGCAGATCAGACCATTAGAGCAACCGAAGCCACCAAGAGTTCTTACTTTTATCCAAGAAGCTACGGACGGTGTTTCCCTCCAAGATGTCAGGGTCTTTGGTGATGCCATCAGCTCCTGCTACCGTGTTGTACAGGTCCACCATGTACTGGGGAGGCTGCTTGATATGGTGGGGAGAGCGGGGAGGGTCTTCTATGCCAAATACTTCCAAAAGCCTTCTAAGAGCCTCCGTTCTCCTGTCTTCTGAATCCTCCTCTGGAAGGACATTGGGGGGTCTGGGATTGCAGCTTTGCAGCCTGGCAAGAAGCAGCAGCAACAGGAGCCTCAGCATGGCTGTCCTCTTCCCGTCCCCCTGCATAACTCCCACTCCCTATCCAGCAGCACATTTATAACAGTGGGGAGAGATGGATTTAAGTCAAATATGCAAATGAGCCATCAGGAAGGGTAAAGAGAGCTAATTGCAGTGCTAACAAGGTGTGAAACTGGGCTACTGAACGCCTTTCAGCAATTAGCCTAGTACACAAGCTGTATGGAGCAGGAAGCGCACTTGTGTACTCTTGTTCTTTGAGAGCAGAATGTGGAGGGAAGGGAGCAGGCAGGAAGGAGCACCTGCACTGCTCTCTGTAGTAAACATCCATGTCCATTGTAGTAAGGCACTGGCTGAGCGGAGTTTGCTCTCCATAGGAGACTAACTGCCTTCTAATGATGGCATTAATGGGGCAAACAGGAGGACCTTTGTGCTCAGGAATTGAACAGCTCTGAACAAAGAGTGGAGGAAAGAGTAGAAGGCCTCTGCCCCCCATGTAGTAGAGGTAAGAAATGCACCTGACAGATAAGCAACCACTGTCCAGAGGGATGAGAGATCAAGGCCAAGAGACATTTTCTAGTGCAATGTCCAAGAAAGATACTTCAAACCATGCATAACATGGGGGTGGGAGGAGGAAAGAGAGGGCAGAGACAGCAGACTGCCACTAGTCTGAAAACAAATACCTGGACCTCGGGAGAAGTGCCATAGACCAGCCACCTTCAACCACCACCATTATAACCACCTGGGTGTCTAGATCTGTTCTGAGCAGGGTTAGACGCTCAGATGGTTAAAACACAGCTTAATACTGTAGACACAGCCCCATACTGAATGGACAGAGGGGCTCAAACCCTGTTCCCTGCTGTGAAAACATCTCCTGGTCATATGATTGTTGCACTGAACTACCTCCTAACAGCAAGTCAGTGCTCAGTTGGGACTAGTGGGTCAGGTATTGCTGTGGGACAGCTCTGTCACTACCCTGCTGAGAAGGCACTTGCCCTCCGTTTCTCTTCCTCCCCTTTGTCTGTCATGTCCATTTATAATGTATATTCTTTAGGGGGGAGACTGTGTCACCACGTGTCTGGACAGCGCCTACCATGGCAGGCTTCAGGTGCTACTGCAATACACATGATAAATAAGAACTGTTTGCCAGGCTAGTGAAGTTGATTGATTTGATTTGCGAGATGCATCTCAGGCATGCCAGGATGAAAAGCCAAGAGAAGCATGAGAGCAACCCCAGACTGTGCTCATGAGCTCTTGGCCTTAATGTGGGCCCTTCCCAGCCAAATCTTCCACCCTCCATAGCCACAAATGGGAAAAATCCCACACACCCAGGAGAAGCTGCCTCAGTGACACAGACATTGAGAGGGACAGAGCAGGCAAGGCCCTCCTGGGCGGGGGACAGACATTCCTGATATGGGGGGAGTGAGGGGACGGGTTCAGCCAGCCCTGTCATGGGGGTGGGTGGAGGGAGTGCGGGGGCTCAGCTATTCCTATCATGGGGTATGTGAGCAGGGGGGCTTAGCCATTCCTGTCACAGGGGTGTGGGGGGTCAGTCATTCCTGTCTCAGGGATGGGGGAGAGGGGTCTGCCATTCCTGTCACAGGGGTGTGTGTGTGGGGCGAGATGATAAACACCAGTTACTTTCCGATTGCTAATAAATGTCCTGAAGGGAAGGTGGCTGGAGAGAAGGCATGGTCCCTGTGCCCCATATACCTGTTGTCCTGCAGGGGAGGCAAGGACCAGGGGCACAGACAAGCAGAGGCTATTGTTATCTGGTTCATTTAAGCTGAAGGGTCAAATTTTTGGATGACATACCAATTTTCAAGGACAGAGTTTGGGTCACAAATTGCATGGTAGCAAACGACAATATTCTGGATTTGAAGTGGAGGTTGATATTCACAGGCACCAGAGAGCAGTTTATTTTGATGGGACAGTTACTGTTTTTGGGAAGCAGTTTCTTTGGGTGAGCATAGCTCATTAAGTCTGGGAACAAATAGGCGGCAGGGGGCATATGATATTTATATCATCAGAAAGCCCTTGCTAAGAAATAGAATATGTTACCAAAATATAAGAGTGATTAGACTTTCTCTGATGCTACGGAGTAGTTGCCATCTAGTAAGTGACAGTTAGCAGTGCACACACACTTTCAATACCATTTAACTAAGGCTAAGTCTACACTAGGAAATTAGGTTGCTAAAAATCCACATCCCTGAGTGATGCAGTTAAACCAACCTAACCTCCACTATAGACAGCGCTAGGTCAAGGGGAGCATTCTCCAGTCGCCATAGCTACCCGCTCTCGGAGAGGTGGAGTACCTATGCTGACAGGAGAAGCCCTCCTGTTGCCATACGTAGTGTCTTTACTGAAGTGCTACAGCTGCAGTATTTTAAGTGTGGTGCTGCCCTTAAAAGAAAAGATTATTGAATGTCAAGCTCAAGTGCTAGGCTTATCTTTTCCATTAACTGCTGTTACATTATTTCTTTGTACTTCACAATTCAGGTGCCAGGCAACTGTCATCTTTCCCTCACTTTACTCATAAAGTGATTGAGAAAGTGCATACAGCCATTTTAAACAGAGCAGTGAATAGAGCCCACATCTTCAACATGAGAGACTGTTATCCCCTTAGTCACACTGCTTTTCAGCAGACACCTGCTAAATCTCTGTTCTTGGGTGTTCATTCTGTAGTACATTCCTCTCCCAGATCCAGGAAGAGAAACCAGGACGCATGATTCTCAGCATTCTACTGTTGTCTGGAAAATATTTGTGCAACTCATGTGTGCTCTCTGAACTAGCCGAGGTTTGTGGTGAGGCTATGAAGATCACGCTGCTGACTAGTGTGGAATGGGGGAGCTTGGGGATACCCTTGACAGAATTTCTGGTTCCCTGTTTAGTTAAGGCTATAGCTAAGGGTCTCTACCAAACTGGATTTTGCATTTTCTAAAATGTACAAAAAAGTCAAATCAACCTGAAAAACTAGGAATTCGGCAGTATGAGAAAGGATTCACAAGGTCATGTCAGACAGAGCCAGGAACAGAAACTAGCTCCCTCATGTAGCCCAACCAATAATTAAGCTAAATTAATGTCCTTGTCTATGCGGTCTGTTCAGTGCGCCTACTCCTGCCTATCCATCTCTGCTAAGCACAGTGAGACACGCAGATGAAGTTTCCTTGTAAACAGTTGCACACAAACACAGGTCTGTGCAGTGAATGAGGCAGGATGTTTGAAAGAAAAGATGATGAGCCTCTGGTTGATACAATGGGCCACAGCAGAACTGGTTTCTCTCTCTAGCTTTGCACAGATTTCCTAGGTGCTCTTGGGTAAGACATTTACCACAGAATGTTTCCAGGTAGCTAGTAATTTTGGCCTTAATCTCTCTGGACCTCAGTTCTCAGGGTATAATGGGGATAATACTCCTGCCCTGCCTCCCAGAAGAGCTGTGTAGAATTGTGTAGTGAGACGGAAGAGGCATTGGACAGATGGGGGTTGGGCAGAAGTTGGGCTGGGGATGGGGCCTGGACCTCTGCTGTTCAGGGAGGGAGTAGAAAATGGGGTGCCTAGGTAAAGCAGGCTGTAGAGGCAGGAGACAAAGCCAGAGACTCTCTCCTGTGGTTTGTGTAGTGACCCAACCACCCCCTTAGGTGCTGTAGGAAACACAGAGGGGCCATGCCCACCCCTCCAGCCATTGGGTCACTTCTTGTCAACTTGTGTGATTTTACTGTGAGTCTCACCATTTGTGGTGTTTTTTCTTAAATCCCCAGTTTCTGGAGTCATGGGATTATGTCAAAATCTCAGTTTCTTTCTTCTTACTTTTTTTTAATGTAAGTTTCTAACCCTTGTGGTTAAAAATTTGAAAATATGCCCCGAGCACAACCTAAAGACTCAGAAACCAGAAGATTAAGAGGGAAACTCCCCACTACCACATTTGAAATAAAAAAAAACACTCATGATTTTTAGGCCAATCTCATGTATTTTTGGACCTGAGTCAAAATTTTTGAACACTTGAGGTTGGCAATACTGGGAGACTCACCATCCCTTAAGAACATCAGAACGGCCAGACTGGGTCAGACCAAAAGTCCATCCAGCCCAGTCTCCTGCCTGCCGACAGTGGCCAATGCCAGGTGCTTCATAGGGAATGAACAGAACAGAACTGAGCCTTAGGACCAGAAGTCGCTCTAGCTATAAATGAACTAGGCAGCTGTCTAGGATGGCGGTGATGGCCTGGCCACTCCTGATGCAGGGGTGGTAGAACCAAATTTGAGTGGCTTTGTGATCCTGTGTGTCGGGACCAAATATGCCAACCTAGGCCTATGAGGAAGGGGGAGGCACACTGAAGTTTTGCCTAGGCTGGCAGATTGTCTTGAGCAGCCTCTGTTTAGGAGGCTCCTAATGACCCAAGCCAAAGAGGCTATTTTGGCTTGTTTAGGGCAGATCTGTGCCTCAGGAGTCTTTTAAAGCTCTTGGGGCATCCCACATTCCCCATCATCCATTCTCTGGTGGTGGGGATGCTCTGTGGGGGCCTTTGGGGGTACACCCAGTTATATTGAGGGCATATTTGGGCATGTTGCAGGGCCATGGGTCAGTGCTGTGCTCTGTGTAAGGGTTTTGGTTTTAAATTGACAACAGTGACTATGGTCCAGATGTTTCTGAAGCCACAATGTTACGCCAGTTCACTAGACTCCCATCTCTGAGACGTGCATTGTTCACCATTGTCACCTTAGCACTGTACCCCGGGTGAGATCAGGGGGATGTCTTAGGACAGGCGTGGGGAGAACATTGTAACATACATTTCAGTAGTAGTGATTAGGCTCTTTCCTTTGACGAGATGGTGGCTCTCACAGGAGCTGTTGTGCAGGCCGGGATCTCTGGCAGTGGTTCTCTCTGCAGCACTAGTATCAGGGATGAGTCAAGCTCCCTGAGACTCATGTCTAACATTGTCTATAAAGACCTGCTGTCCCAGCCATGCAGATGAGTAAACCCACTCTGGGTTAG